TTGTTGACATATTCTTTGTCAAGATCTTTGTTTTCCCTTTATTTATTTATCAGCATAAATATAACACATTGCTGTTAAATATATTCCCAAATATTTAACCTTGTTCGTAACTTGCATCTCCAAGGTTTCCGCCAACTCTTCTTTTTGTCTTGTTGACATATTCTTTGTCAAGATCTTTGTTTTCCCTTTATTTATTTATCAGCATAAATATAACACATTGCTGTTAAATATATTCCCAAATATTTAATCTTGTTCGTAACTTGCATCTCCAAGGTTTCCGCCAACTCTTCTTTTTGTCTTGTTGACATATTCTTTGTCAAGATCTTTGTTTTCCCTTTATTTATTTTTAATCCTGCTACTTTTCCATATTCTTCTATTCTTTCTACCAATTTAGGTGCTATTTCTAATGGATCCTCTAGAATGAAGACCAAGACATCTGCAAATGCTTGTAGTTTATATTCTTCCTTTTTGGTTTTCATTCCTTTTATTTCTTTTCCTTCTCTGACCTTTCTATTTAAAACTTCTAACGTTAAGACAAAAAGTAATGGTGATAATGGGCAGTCTTTGGTGATAATGGGCAGTCTTGTCTCGTCCCTTTCTTTATTTCAGTAGACTCTGTCAATGAAGTTCTATGATGAATGCCAATGGAAAAATACTTAACCTAAAGCAGTACTTAATATACCTTTCCTTTGAGTAATGACAATTCAGAAACATCAACATTGCTGAAGAACAAGATGGCTATACATAAATGCTGTTTCTACTTTAAAACTAAGTTTTTTTGTCCTAATTTGTTTATTCAGCTGAGCATCAGAGTAAGTGCAGAAAACATTCCTGTAATTCTGAATTGTTTACAGGATGATGACGAATAATGTTAGAAGCTAAATCAAAATGAGGACAATGCTTTTTGTTCTCTTTCAAACTTTGAATAAAGAAATAACAGCTTTGCGTTGATTTGGCATTCCTAGTCGGACAATGAAATGGATGGCAGAATAAACAAATCAACAAACTAACTAACAAAGCATGCATGCAGTGGGGCAATTTCAGTTTTCTTGAAACATTAACGAATATTTTCATTAGTTCATAGCTGACAATACAATATAGCCTAAGGAAAATGTATGTCTAGAGGAAATAATGATTATTTTTCCTTGCTTCCCAAATGAGTTGCCTTATTTTCTTCTTTGAAAAGAAAGATATGACAGAGAAATTGTAGATAAATCTTATTGAATTTAATGATGGAATTTATTTAGTCAGTTTATATCTCATCCTGCTTCTTTAGCAAATATTCAAGATATATATTTTTAATAAAAACTAAAGGTATAAGCTGAAGAGTTGAAAACAAAATTAGTATTAATATTAATTAACAAAAGTCTTGCATGAAAACTGAATCCATTAATGATGAGAATGTTAGGGCTAAATGCAACTCGAGAGAATTGCCATCATCACCTAGGGACAATTAGGGAGATGGTCTCCCACATATTAAAAAAATATAAGAAACCTGAAAACGTATCTCCTTCTCTCTGACCAGTACGACTGTATGTCAAGGCACACAGAACACTGTTACCTTCCCACCAAAGTATTTATCTACTTTCATTTTCATGCTTTTGAACTGCTAGCTGGTTAAGAGCTGGAGCAAGTAATGGGAGCTCACTCCATCCCACAGCGCTCGGATCTCGAATCCAGGAAGTTAGGTTTCCAGCTGACAAGATCAGCGTCTTTAACTGCTGAACCATTGCACCCCCTTAATATTCTATTAATATAGCCTTATAATAAAGTAGAATTAGTTCATTTGTATTTCTGTCTAATTTGCCCTGAAAGGCTTACATCCATCTTGCAAGTCTAAATGCACAATGCTTCCAGTTTTAATTGCTTGATCCTTTAGGGTAGGTATTTCTTAAGTTTCTTTTTCCGAACATTAAAAGATTGGTCATGTCTCTAATCTGGTTGTTTTCTAAATAGCATTTATTTCCCCAAAGTCATTCATACATTCCATTACAGATTATCACCTTTAAAGCCCTACATGGTATGAAATTAGTTTATTTCAGGGATTGCCTCTTCCCAATTTCATCTGTCTATCTCACCAGGCCCAACAGAATAGATACATTATAAATGTAATCATCTAAAGAGCTACATTTGCTGGGACCTAGGTGGCAATCTTTTTCTTTTGTAGTGCCCACATTGTGGAATCTTCTCTCCCAACAGTTGAGGTTGGCCTCAACATTCCTGAACTTTCAAAGCTTCCTCAAGACCTGGTAATGCCAGCAGGCCTGAGGACTTCAGAGGACAGGAGAACTTGCGTGGTGGCTTTGTTGTTATCTTACTTTAGTTCTGCTTTTATAGTTTTTAATGCCCTTTTAATAATTATTTTCTAATGCTTTTAGGTAATTGTTTACTGTTTTATTGGCTTGCTGTACATTACCCAGAGTAATTTTCCATATAAATTTGATTAATATCAATACAATTATACACACATACAACTCTATATGTATATATTTGATATATGTGTGAAGGACAATGGCAGTTTTTAGAGTCCATTGGATGCCTATCTGAATACTTAATACCTAATATTTTAATACCATTAGTTATAAAAATTGGCATGATTTGACTTGATGTTAGTTTCCTTAACAAGTAATGGGAACCTTTCATTGATAAATCATAAATTGCTGGTGTGAATCCTAGGCTTCCAGCATTCCAAACAATTTTTTTTACTGGTGTGGTTGAACTGGCAAAACAGCATTCAAAGTTTCAGGTTTTTTTCTTCTCTGTGACACTTTCCAACATTTTTCAGTGATGATAGGAAGTAATTTCTGAAGCCTTAATTCAGCTGTAACCAGAATGTCAACAATAAAAGGGGCATTTTAGCCAATACTTTACATTTGAGTAGTCAAATATATTTCTGCACATCACTAACATTTATTGCAATCCATGTCAAAATAAAAAATTTCTATTTCTTTACTTTCCGCTGGTTTTGTCAAACAGTTCATTAAAATTGTAGACAGAAGTGATAATAATTTCCTGTACATAAGACAAACCCATTTATTTTCTTCAATATCTTAAAATAATTATTTTGTCTGCCAGTGCCTTGTCTATATCTTTATCATGGGAAGATATCGGTTAAGTTGCTGAGCAGATAACATTTTACAATATGGTCCTCCTATACTGTGCTCTGAATTTGGATGCCAAAATCATGTGGATGTAGTTGTATGCATCTTTTCACAATTACTGATTTTGAGCAGGGAAACAATCAAATGGGAAATATGACCTACATGATTAATCCTGACTAGTTGTGTAACGCTGTGATGTAGTTTTCCTACAACTAGAAATCAACGTAAGTGGATATTAGATCTTTGATTCTATTGGATACCAAGTCTTTTATTGCAATTTAAAATTTGGGTTTAAAAATCCTGCATTTGATCAATAGGGAAGTTGCATGCAGAATGTATACAACAGTAACATTCTTTATCATGTTTCAGTCAATGAATGACAGCAGTTGGGATGTCAACTGCAATCAAATGTTAAGGCTACCATAAGAAAACTTGATGAAATGTGTGACAGGTATTAAAACTGCTTTTAAACCCCATGCTAATAAGATTTTTTAGAACACTAGAACATCAGCACATCAGGAAATTATACACACACATGCACAAAAGCAATACTTCCTTAGTTCTGCACAAAAATTAAAATGGCGGTCCTTGTCTAGACATTCATATTCTGCCAAATATAGTACAAAAGGTACTAAAAAAAGTCAGAGAAATGAAAAACTGGCAGAATAACTAATTCAAAGAGTACACCTTCATTTCCTGGTTAATGGATCACAGTTTGCCCTATATCATGACGTTCTTGCTATAAGAAAAGATGGGTGCACTTTCAAGTAGTTATTGGTGTCCTATCTAGTACCAA